GGCCTCGGCGGAGCTGTTCCCGGGCGCGGCGCGCGGGCTGTGCAACGGAGGCAGCGGCGGCCGTGAGTGCTTGAGTACCGACGGCTGTGGCTGTAGCGGCATCGCAGGTTCGGCCCGTCGGTCCGTGCGGCTTGGGGTCCGCCCGGAGCTGCGGCGAGAGCGGGAGCCCGGCTCCCTCCCCCGCCCGCCGCCGCTGTGATTGGGTGGAAGATGGCGCTGGGCGGATGGAAATCCTAATGACAGTCTCCAAATTCGCCTCTATCTGTACCATGGTAGGTGCGGCGGGCGTGCGGCCGGGCCTACTACGGTCTTCGCGGCGGGGCGAGGCAGGGCCGCGGGGGAGGGGAGGCGGCGGCGGGAGCGCGGCTGCGGGCGGCCGATTAGGGCTGCGGTCCTGCGCGGGCGATTAGCTGGACGTGGCGAGTGGGCGGCACCGAGCTGCTTCCCGCGGGGCCGGGCGGAGGCGCGGCGACCCGGGCGGCGGGCGTGCGGGAGGCGGCGCGGGCTGGGCCATTGGGAGGGCCCCGGACGCGTGCTCCATTTTCGCCTGGCCGGGCGCCGCGAGGAGGCGTCCCCCATGGGAGGGAGGCCCGGGCGTCCTGCGTGGAGGGTCCCCAGGGGCTGGTAGGAAGGGTCCTGTTCCAGCCCGGGGGCAGGACGGAAGTCAAGTGCACATTTCCCCCGCGCGCCCCTGGAGTCCTCCGAGGCTGGAGCAGGGGGCTGGGGTGTGTGGGAAGGTGGAAACTTTAAACAAGTGCCGGTGACATTTTAATATTTTTCCGGTTTTGTACTCTGAGCTCCCCCATCAGCCGTGTGTCCAAGTGGCAGTCTTGTTTCTGGGAATGCACGCGGAATCTGGAATGGCACTGTCCACCCTCCTGTCATTTGTTTACTTTCAGTACATCAGTCACATCTGTGTGTGACTCCAGAATGTTTCTGAGGAGAAAACCTTGTAGGCAGTAGTTGTTTGTCTTGGTTTTTCATTTGTGCTAAGGGGAACTGTAGTAATGCCCCTTTGAAAGCCCCGAATAAACCCAAATGTGGATATGTTGAGAACTTGATAGTTTTGCCTTTCCCCAAAAGGACTACAGTGTTCCGCTTAATGGGAGAATTTGCATGATTAGCTGAGGACTGGGAATCATAATTATGAATCATCTGCCCCCACTCCCTCCCAAAGTTATTTGTTACAACGTGACCCAAGTGGTTGCTTCGAAAGACTTCAGAAATCTTTCCTTCTCCTTGCATCTCTGTTCCTCTGTATATCATATTGCCTAAAGACATTCCAGGCCACCTTTGGATCTGAGGGTGATTAATTTTATTTTATATTTCTGTAAGGAATGGAAAGCTACTTTAAAAACACACCCGGTACTGCACACGAGGGACCAGTATTAAAAAATGGCTGAAGTCAGGTGGGCTTTAAATTTACAGGATAAAAAAAAATCCCATAAAAGAATGAATCATCAAGGAAGCCTCTTCCTCCATGGATGTCTGTCCTCTCTCATGCTTTTTGTTTTAGGAAAGCATTGGCTTTAAAGAGACTATGTAGCAAAACGATTTTAGAGGCTTGTTTGCACTAATTATTTTTAGATATGCCGGTTATTATCATTATCTCTTGCAAAAGGTCTGTGATGACAGTGACAACTTTGCCAATTTGGGATGATCGGGTCATAGTTCTTTGTCAAAGTCTAGAGTTTCAGGAACTTGATTGATGCGTTATTGTTTACGAACTGATCTTTCTTTCATTCACTCACTCAAGGATGTGCCTGACACCTCCAGTTCTTGTGTTGTAGTGTGTATTGGGGCTGCTGGCTCAAAAGGCAATGGTTCAAATTTGTGAAGTGTGATGTTTAGTTTCCTCCCATAAGATTTACAGTCTCAGAAACTGATGGAGGGTTGATCTGAGTTGAGATTGACTCCGTGGCAGTGGGATTTTTAAAGTGCTAAATGAGGTGCCTTGGTGCATTTCAGTGTCATGCTGCTAACCTACAGGTTGCTGGTTCAAATCCACTTGCCCTACCTGAGGAGAAAGATGGGCATTCTGCTTCTGTAAAGATTGACAGCTTTTGGAACCAGGATGAGGGTCACTGCGATTTTGAATGGACTTGAGGGCAGTGGGTTTGTTTTCAGTTTCTGAAGTGTGAGAAAAGGAGCCTGGGGGCCCAGGCCTGTGGGCTGCTGACCGAAAGGTTGGCCATTGCAGCCCACCAGCTGGTGTGGCAGGAGAAAGATGTCAGGGACTGAAGACGTGACCTTCTTCCCCTGAAGGTAGTGCTCCTAGGTCCTGCAGGGCCACTGTGAGTCAGAAGTGACTCAACAGGCAGTGATTTAGGTGCAAAAGGACTTGCTGAGTGCTAGGAATAGTGACTGAGTCCTGTTCTCATGATGTTTATGTTTTACCATTTTTAAATGGATACTCAAGAACTGTAGCCTTCAATATGGGTTACATCTCAACATCAGGAAGACAAAAACCTTCACCACTGGACTGTAACGATAGATGGCGAGAGATTGAAGTGGCCAGTGATTTCATCTTGGATCCACAGTCAATACCCTTTGTTAACAGTAGTCAGGGAATCTGGGGACTATGGGATTGGGAGAGTTTGTGGTCAGGGATCTCCTCTCCAAAGTCCGGAAGAGCAGTGATGTCAGTTTAAAGACTGTAGTGTACCTGATTCAAGCTATAATCTTTTCAGAGAACTGGACAATGAATAAGGATGACAGGAATAGATCAGTGCCTTTCAGTTGTGGTGTTGGAGAAAATGCTGAATATCCCATGGACTGCCAAAAGAACACATGTAAATAAATGTCTTGGAGAAAGTATAACCTGAGTGCCCCTTTGAAGCAAGGATGGTAAAGCTTCATTTCATGTACTTTGGGCATGTTGTTTGTTGTTTGTTATTTTTATGTACTGTAGAGTCAGAACCAACCTATAGCTGACCCTCCAGTTTTCAGAAACAGTAAATTGCATAGGAAGAGATAACCAGTCTTTCTCCTGTAGAGCACTTGGTAGATTTGAACCATGTGCCTTCAGGTTGGCAGTGCAGCTCCTTACCACTAGGCTACCAGAGCTCACATACTTTGGGCATATTGCTAGGAGGGGCTGTTTCTTGGAGAGGGACAGCTTGCATGGAAAGATAGGTGGAGGGTCAGGGGAAGAGAGGACAGTCCCCAATGAGATGATACAGTGTCTACCTCCATGGGCTTAATTGTGTCAGAGATAATAAGGATGGCACAGGATAGGACAGGATTCAGATCTGCTGTTTGTTGGGTTACGATGGGCCTTTCTCAACACAGTAGCATTTAATGACTGTAATAACAGGGTAGGGTACTCTGGTGGCTTAGTGGTAAGGAGTTGTGCTGCTAACCCAGAGGCTCAGGTTTGAATCCACCACTGTGGGAGAAAGATAGGCAGTTTTCTTCTGTGTGATTTACTGCCTCTGAAAACTTTGTGAAGGGTCAGCTAGGAGTCGATGGACGACGACAGTAATCGTCAGCTTGGAACCCTAAGTAGCACCCTCAGGTGCTAAGTTATCAGACTGAAAATCTTCCATTGGCTTATGGGGAGAAGGATGAGCAGTCTCCTTCCATAAACACTTTTTGTCAGGTGTTGTCAATGTGAATAAGGCTTGTAGCAACTCTAAGAAAACCAAATTTGAATCCTATCCTATCTTGTGCCATCCTCACCATCTTTGATACACTTGAATCCATTGCTGCAGTCACTGTGTCTGTCAGTCTATCTCCATGGGAGTCTTTCTCTCTTTCTCTGACTTATCCAATCATGATATCCCTTTCCAATTAATAACCTCTCCTAGCAACATGTACAAAGTACGACAGATGAAGCTATGTCATCATTACCCCCAAGGAACACTTTGGTTGCACCTTTTCCAAGACATACCTGTTCGTTCTTTTGACAGTCCATTTTGGAGAACAGTATTCAGTACTTTCTCCAACAGCACAACTCAAAGATGTCTGTTATCTTTATTCATTGTCCAGGTCTCAGATACATAGCAAGGGATTGAAAAGACCATATCCTGAATTAGGCTCACCTTAGTCGTCAAACTGACATCATCGTTCTTCAGTATTTTGGAGAGGTCCCTGACAGCATCCTTGCCCCCCAAAGCAGTACGTCTCCTGATCTGCTTGCTGGTACCAAGGGTGTTTGTGGATCCAAGTATGATGAAATCATTGACAGGTTCAAGCTTTCGCCATCTTTCATGATGTTGCCTATTGTTGTTGTTGTTGTTGTTATGTGCCATC